TGCCCGGGCCGGGCGAGCTGCTCTCCCCAACGCTCCCGTCATTTGCTGAACCTCAAGCCCGATAGAATTCTGCAGTGCAGGCTCCGAGCTAGCTCCCAGGCACCGCGCGGACCGACCGCGCTCGCTGTCTACCCGCGTGTAGTTGCGGTTCCAGCTGGTGCTGCGTGTGCCGTCTCAGCACCGCAGTTTGCCAGCCGCGCACACATCCCTACAATACACAGATGGCTAATCAATGAACACGCGGCTAATCCATACACGACTAATCTATACACACTCGGCTAATACATGCATACACACACACAGAGCTAACCAAAACACACATGGCTAAGCCACACACGGCTATTCGGTACACACATGGCTAATCAATACACACACACATACACACGTCTAATCAATACAGACATGGCTAATCAATACACACACATACACATGTCTAATCAATACACACATGGCTAATCAATAGACACACACACACGTCAATACACACATGGCTAATCAATACACACACACATACACACATCTAATCAATACACATGGCTAATCAATAGACATACACACAGATTGCTAATCAATAGACACATGGCTAATCAATAGACACATGGCTAATCAATACACACATGGCTAATCAATACACACACAGAGCTAATCAAGACACAGATGACTAATCAATACACTCACAGCTAATCCACACATGACTAATCAATACACACATGGCTAACACCTGCATACACATACACAGAGCTAATCAATCTACACAGGATTGACCAATACACACAGCTAATCAAAACACACATGGCTAATCCATACATGGCTAATCCACGTACTGCTAATCAATACACATGTGGCTAATCAATACACACACACACTCATAACTTCCTTGAGGGGAAGCCATATGAGGAGTGGCTGAGATCACTTGGTCTGTTCAGCCTGGGGGAGACTGAGGGGAGACCTCACTGCTGTGTACAACTTCCTCACACAAGTGGAGGGGCATGCACTGATCTCTTCTCTCTGGCAACCAGTGACAGGACCCAAGGCAATAGTCTGAAGTTGCATCCAGGAAGGTTTAGGCTGAATATTAGAAAGTGGTTCTTCACCCAAAGGTGGTTGGACTCTGGAACAGGTTCCCCACGGAAGTGTTCACAGCACCAAGCCTGGCAGAGTTCAAGAGGTGTTTGGACAACTCTCAGGCACAGGGTGTGATTATTGGAGATGTCCTGTGCAGGGCCAGGAGTTAGACTTCATGATCCTTGTGGGTCCCTTCCAACTCTGAATATTCTGTGATTCTGTGACTCATCAATACACACACACACACTAATACACAGCTAACCAATACACACATGTGGCTAATACACAGCTAATCAATACACCCATGGCTGATAACACACAGAGTTCACTGAGATCTTGCTGCAAAGTACCTCTGTGCATAGAAGGGTGAGTGGTGTAGGTGAGGGCTGAGGGCACTGAGGCTAGAAAAGCAGTTTAGCCAACATTACCATATTTTCTGCTTTCTAATTTAGCTGCATTTCCTCTTGTTCTAAACTAGCAGGTAGAGATGCTGTGCAGAGTCAGAACGTGTCATGACAGAGGCTTTTCCAAGGTGCCACTTTTCAAAGGCCCTTCCCTCCCGAGGGGGGATGTCCTTGGCACTTTTCACATTCAACACAGTTTCTGTGCAGGGACAGTGTGTGGGAGGACCTGCTCACAGTGGTTCATGCAGCATGACTGTGTGCTAGTTTGGTTTATAACATTGTGCATGAGGCTTCTTGAGCTCAAAGAGTGGTTTTGTAATCAATTCAACATATGGTTCAAAAAGAGGAACCTGTGGAAATCTATGATTCTGGCAGTGTCATATGAATCTAAACTTTAGTTGTGTTAGCTCCTGGTTGAACACAAATGTGACTTTTTTAATCTTAAAGTACCCAGTAACTCAAGAAATCATTGTCATTTATCTCTAGTTAATGAACCCCAGGTGTCTCATCCCATCTGCCAGAATAAGGAGACTCCTATGTGTACTCAGCAGGAGAAGACAGGTAAGTGTGCCACTTACCCAGTGGTGACCAGTGTATTCTTGCATCTTTGGTTTTCACAGACCTTTCTACTGCAGTAGTGCCCTGGTCACCCGTGTGACTTGTGTTCATCTAATGTAGTGTAGGAATCATGATCTCAGGCTAAAATAAATAAATATGTTTTTCCCTTTGTGTGATTCTCTTTAGGGAAGTGCTCACTTCACTGACTGCCTCACAGGTCAGTTCCTTAGGGAACAGCCTCAGATGTTTGTGCTCTGGGTAAGGCTGGTTTTACCCAGCCCTTCCCAGCTGCTCCCAGCCCTGCTGGGACAACCTGTGCCAGAACATGGGCAGCTGTGTACCCCAGGTACACCTGAGCTGCTGTTTAGACCCCAGGTGAGCCACAGCAATGGCTGGAACTGTGAATGGAGAGGCTGTGCAGGGAGGAGAGTACTGGTTCTCCTTACGGTGGGTTCGTGAAGAAACTTGTGTAGCCTTTACTTCTGCTGCCCTTGCCTTGTCATGAACTCAATCATTTCCTCCTCCTCTGTTGATATGGCAATTCCTGCTAGTGATTGGCTCGACTTGTTTTGGACTCTTACCCCGCTCTTTTCCCTGATTTGATGTGTCATCTGAACAAAAAGTGGTGTGAAAGTTTGGAAAACAAGCTTGGAGTTTTTCTTAGCTTTTGCCTAAGGCATTAGGGTGTGATGTTTTATTTCAGAATCATGTGAGAAATCGGAAGAAGCGGAAAAAGGAAGATCTGGGAAGTCTGTCATTGTAGTAACCACTGCCTGTGGGGAGGAAATAGAAGATGAGATTGTGGAAATGTACTTTGAAAATAAAAAGAAGTCTGGTGGGGGGACCATTCAGTCCTACACCAAAGAGGATCAGCAAATTATCATCACCTTTGAGAAGGAGGAAGGTATGATTGTAACTCTGGGTGTTGTATTGCTAAAGCTCCCTTTTAAAATTAGGTCTGTGCTAGTGCTGGATCTCTTTGTGGACATTGCTCCAAGCAGAAATGGTGTATTTTTATGATTATTTAACATGCTGCTCTGCTGTGGAGGGAGGGAAAGGGGAGATCACATCTTTGTTTTCCTGTGGGACTAGATGCCCAAGAAGTTTTGCAAAGGAAGCATCACTCGGTGAAGAAAATTGATCTGTGTGTGAAGCCGTGGCAAGTGAAGACTCTCCAGGAGCCGTGCCAAATGGAGAACTCTGAAGGATCCCTGCCTTCCACTGCAATTGTGCTGGAAAATGTGAAGGAGACAGTAAAAGAGTGCATGTTAATTATGCTGGTAGAGAACGTCAGTGGCTTGTCAGAGGATGATGGTGACTTCACTGTGGAAATGATACCTGAGTTACGTGCTGCTGTAGTTACTTTTACTGGAAACACAGGTAAGGAGGAGTCAGAGTTGCAGCTCTGTTATTGTGTCTCTGTGTGTATGTGTGAGAGACTGAGACTAAGCAGGAATTGAGCTTTTCTGTCATAGGTTTAAGGTTTAATCTGATATTGTGTCCTTTTAAAGGAGGATTTACTCCACTGAAGTTAATGCCCATCCTTTTATCTATAAGGTATAGAGGCCAGTGCAAGTCAGAAGAGGGTTAGCTCTGATTTGGGTAGTAAACAGAACAGGTAGAACTAAAACCAAAGTATAAACAAGAACAAAAGGATGTAATTGGTCTGAGAATAGATCAAAGGTAAAGGTTTCTCTGCTTTAGAATTCAGAAATTATTTGCCTCTCATGTCATAATCCAGTCCCAAATTTTTGGTGTAGCCTTTAGGTGTAGATCTTTGAGAAATTTAGTTGGTTTCCCCTGACAGACAGAAAAGTAATTTGACTCTTTCATTGTGATGATAACAGAGGGAAAATAGCCAAAAGAGAATGTATTCATCATGAAACTGAAAGAATTTAAACTGTTGACTTGTGTCTGATCAGCTGCAGGCCAAAAATGAAGCTGATCTTGCTTTCTTCTGGGGTTAAAGAGACCCAGTGCTAGTCAGTAGGAAAACTAGTGACAAATTCTGGCTACAATCATTGTAGTCAACAATTGCAATCAACCACGAGGGGAATACTAGGTGACAGATACTGGATATATGGAAAGGAGTAGCTTTGTGAGCACCTCTGAGTTGATTTTGTAATTCAGTGCTTTGATCAGTGCACACAACTGTAGTCTGCTAACCTCATAGCAGAAATGTGAGCTCCGATTTTGATCTTGTTTTTTCTTTTTTCTGCTCCTTCCTCTTTCTAGATACAGAGGAATTGGCTAAAAAGCTTAACCGAAACCACAGAACCAAGCAACAAAACATTACTGCATGGTGCCTTGAGCAAACAAAAAGCATTAGGGCTGAAAATATACCACCCAACACATCCAGTGACTATATAACCATCTACTTTGAAAATAAGAAGAATGGAGATGCACAAGTGGTGGGTGTTCAGCAGCTGCCTGATGAAGATGCAGCTATCATTACACTGAGTGACTATAAAGGTAATGCAGAAATGCTAAGCCCTTCTCTCTTTGAGAACCTTTCATTTAAAGATCAAACTGTGGATTTTCTAGAGAAATGCCTCCTTTGTCCTCATGGAACAGCAGATCTGGTGTTTTCTCAGTAGGTCTCTGCTAACTGGAGTGCAAGCTTCAGTTTTGGACCAGCTGAGCATGAGGCATAGAATGTTTTCCTTCTTCTGGACAGTTTATTTCACCCAGGCCTTGATCCTTACTGAGTTCAGGTTACAGTTTATATTCAGTAGAGAGTGCACAGCCCTGTGGCATGCACAGGACTTCCCCACACCTGCCACCTTCACCACCAGCTGCCCCGTGGCAATGTGTGCTGTCTGACTCATCTGAGGACAACTTCTTGGACAGCTTTTTGGCTGGAGAGCAGGTGCTGTCGCTTGTCCAGTCAGTGACAGAAAGATGAGTGGAAGGTGAAGGACAAGGGAGAAGCTTGAGACATTGCAGTGAAGGGGAGAGCTGAAGGGAAGTTGAAGGAAAGAGATGTTCTTTTGAGGGGGGAAACAGAGCAGCTCTGATTTGATACTGCTGGGTTGAGCTGGGCACTTCAAGTACATGTAAGAGAAATGGGGCCAGAGACAGTGCTGTGCATACCTCCTCCTGGAAGTGGATGGTATGTGCTTGACTGTCTCTTTCCATCTTAGTTTCTAGTATTTAAAATAAGTAATTCTTCAGTAATTTGCAAGTATTTCTATCTGGATAGGAGGGTAAAATTAATCTAAAAATGTTCTTAAAAATAACAAACATTATTATGTAGAAAACAGTTTAAAAAAAACCAGACAACAAAACCCCCAAAACAAACCAGAAGAACTTATGTGCTAATATTAATAGTTTGGGGTTTTGCTTGTTTGTTTTAGACGTAACTAATATCCTGGCAAAGAAGCATTCACTCAACAAAACACCAGTCTCTGTCTATCCTTACTACACCTCTCTGGGAACAGCTCTCTATGGAAAGGAAGGACCACAGATAAAGAAGCCAGATCCAATTACATTGCTTCTGGATCCCTATATCTGGAATTATTTGCAACGAAACAGCAGCCTAATAGAGACAATAAATGGTGAAATGGCAAAGTGTAACTGTGTGCCAATGTGGCCTGAACCCCAGTGTGCTGACCCAAAAGTAACTTTGCATCCTTCAGCTATTTTTTCTGAGCGGAAGAGATCAGTATTTCAATTGGTCAAGACATGGAAGGAAAAAGCTTCCACAGCATTTTCACACAGCATATCAAAGTACAAAGCAATTCAGTGTCAAGTAAGCGCAGAGGTGTGGGAAGCCATTAGAAACAGCTTTCCCCATGATGAAGTTTTGGTGATCCCATGTACTTCCAAGGATTTACTAGTTCTAGTAGGTGAAAAAGAAGTTGTGAAGAATGTTGAACATGTACTGAAAATTCTGATCGAAAAGGCCATCATAGAAATTGAAAGAGAAAAGCAAAGAACTGAACAAATAGTGGTAGTGAGTCCAGGGGAATATGGAATTTTACAGATTAGTGGTCTTGAAGAAAAATTTCGTACGGAGTTCCCAGCCCTGCAGATAACTTATGATTATTTGCAGAAGGTAATTAACCTATGTGGAGTGCCTGAGGAAGTTTATAAAATAAAAGGGGAAATATTTGATTATTTACGCAAAATGGTAAAGAAAACTGTTAAGATCCACCCTCACATTTTCCAATTTTTAGAGCATATTGATAATGAAACATTGTCACAGAGCCTGTTTATGTTAAAAAAAATCAGTGCCTTTTATGAACTTGGCACAGAAGCTATCATCTTGAAAGGGAGTACTCCTGAAGATCTCCTAAAAGCAGAAGAAGAAATACAGAAGGAACTGGACTACAAAAGCATTAGTTTGGAGGATGAGTCAGTCCTGCAGAAGAACGAATGGCACATGCTCACCAAGCACAACTGCTGTAATGAAGCTGTAGCAGTAACTCAGGCAGAGAGTCAGGTCATTATTGCTGGTTTATCTCAAGCAGTAACAGAAGCCTTTGAGAAACTTTCTCACTTTATAGATGAAAACACACACGTACAAAAGGTCATTGGAGGAAAGCCCATGGCAGTCATAACGTTTTTTGAGAAAGAGAAGGCCAAAGACTGGGGTGCCTTACAGAAAAACGGTGTGAAAGTTGACTTCAGCACACAGAAAACGTGTGGGGTTATAACCTTGAGTGGGTCAAGGTCTAAAGTGCTAGAAGGAATCATCTTAGTTGAAGAGATTCTCTCCGGCCTGCATTATAAGCGTGTGGTAATTACAGCGCCAGGAGCCAAGTCATATTTCAAAGAGCAAGAACACCTTTTGTCAGCCCGTGTAAAACAAGAGTTTAAGTGTCTAGTGCAACTCGAAGAGGTGCCAGAAGAGCAGCTAGAAGAACAGCAAGAAGACAGTAACAGAGGCAAGCCCTACATGCAGATGACTGTGGGTGGAGTTGTAGTAGCAGTTTATAAAGCTGACTTGTGCACTCATCCTGTTGATGTTGTGGTGAATGCATCTAATGAAACCTTAAGTCACATCGGTGGCCTTGCTGCAGCACTGCTAAATGCTGCTGGTCCAGAGCTGCAAGAGGAGTGCAATGAGCTGGTGAGGAAGAAGGGGAATTTGCAGCCTGGCTCTGCAGTTATCACAGGCGCTGGGAAACTCCCCTGCAAGAACATCATTCATGCTGTTGGGCCCAGGTGGAGCAAGGAGGAAGCAGAACTATGCGTGGAGTCATTGAGGAAGGCAGTGAAGAATAGTCTACAACTAGCTGAAACATACAATCATCGTTCCATAGCTCTGCCTGCTGTAAGTGCAGGGCTTTTTGGCTTCCCACTGGAACTGTGTACATATTCGATTGTAGCCTCCATCAAGGAGGCCTTGGAAGAATCCATGGGGGAGAGCAGCTTGAAGGAGGTTCATCTTGTGGATATTTTACCGGATAAAGTTCAGGCTTTCAGCAAGGCACTTAAGGAAGTGTTTGCAGGTCATTCATCTTCCCACAGGTCACTGCCTCAGGCCAGTACAGTTCATAAGTCTAGGAAACGCAAAATTCCTCAACACAACTTCCCATTTGTAACAACTGAGGAAGGCCTTGACATTCTGCTGGAAACAGGAAACATTGAAGATGCTACAGTAAGTGTTTTAAATTATCTGCTATTAAAATATCAGCTGGAGGGGGTTTTGTGTGGGTTTTTTTTTTTAAACAAACAAACACAAACCATAGACCATCATCTATAATTAGCAACATTACATGTTTGACATGTCACTGAAATTGTCTATCACTGCTGGTAACAAGAATTGCTGTTAGATGATTGTCTTACATGGTAGATAGAGGTGGCTGTGCAGCATTGAATTTTGTTGTCTACTCATGCAAAGGCACACAGATCACAGAATCATGGAATGGTTAAGGCTGGAAGGGACCACTGGAGGTCATCTAGTCCAACCTCCCTGCTTAAGTAGGGTCCCCTAGAGCATGTTACTCAGGATTGTGTCCCTACAGCGTTAGAACATCGCCGGAGATCCCTGTGGTACACAGTGCATTACAG